AGCTGCTGCTGTGACAATGGATGCACACACGGTGGCAGCTCCGCCCATGTCAGCTCTCATTGCATCCATGGAGGGGGACGGCTTCAGAGAAATGCCACCACTGCAGTCACACAGAGAGAAGGGGACAGATGGTCTTGATGAGAGCACTGTATTGCTTAAATGAGGTCAGAAGTAAGAGTGGTCCATTAGATATCCTGGTGAGCTGGAGTACGTATCGTTACAGTTTACCTGTCGAAGGTGATGCCTTTGCCGACTAAGAGCAGCGGGGCCTGAGTGCTGTCAGGTGAACCGTTGTAATGTAGCTCCAGGAAGACAGGGGGCTCCTCTGAGCCTTTGGAAACACTGAGAAACGCTCCCATCTGTTGCTCCTCTATCCAAGCCTGGGATCTGCATAAAACATGAATTGTTAAGACAAATCCTCTTTCACCTCATCCACCTCAAAACACTAACAACCGTACTTTGTTTTTGCAGTTTGAATACTACAGAGGAGCCTGACTGAAGACCTCCCCAAGTATTCAGCCTCACATTTTTCTCTCATGTTGCTGCTACCATCAGGTGATCCTTTGTTATGGTGGATATCTGTTGCCAGCTGTGTTTCTGAAGGATATAAACTATCAGCTTAGAGTGGATTCATAAATGCTGCCAGATTTGACTGGGGCTGCAACTACAATTATTTTATTAATTGATGAATCCTTATATCCATATGATGTAAGAAAATAGTAAAAAAAAAAGAAAAGAATTGCCCATCAACATTCAGTTTACCGTGATAGAAAACAGGGAAAAGCAGCAAATCCTCACAACTAAGAAGCTGGAACTGGAGGATGTTTGGCATATTAGCATGAAAAAATGTCAGTTGCTGATTAAAATTATGTCAGCTGACTAATCGATTAATTGTTACAGCTCTATATTGACAGTTTCCAGACCAATACATTTTTTTAAACTTTCAAAAATATGATAACATATTTTGTGATTAAATTAAACAGTATACATAAACGTCAAAATTAGTAAAATTTTCCCCAAATGATCCTAAATCAGGTCGATATTTATCTTCCCACCAAAAGTTTTCCCAATCAAACGAGTCCAATATCTGAAGATGTTGGATTTGTGTGTCCCACGGTGCCTTGAAAACTCATTGATTAAAAAGTATATATGTCTAAAATACCCTGCAATGATGCGGCAAAGTTAAATTCTGTGTTTCCCATGTCTAAGTTGCACTTACTTCAACTGACAGATACAAACACTGTAGATAAATCATAAACGGTCGCACTGTAAATTCCTTTTTCTGAATACTGCGTAAAGTAATGCCAGTGATGATGAATAATGATGATGCACAAACCTCTTATTTATTGTGACTCGTCCAGCATGTGGTGCTAGTTTCTCTTCAATGGTGCTGGCAAAAGCAGTAGGAGTGATGTGATTCGCCGGAGCTTCCATTAGTAGCCGTGCCAGGTTTTGGCCTTCTGCAAACACAACTCCTCTCTCCCACCCGGCCAAGTCAGCACTAAGAACAATTACAAACAAATACACTGCATTTATGTGAATTTACCAAAATGTAAACTTGTCCCAGTTTTAGGTTATACTTGTCAGTCTACCTTCCGAGAAGCTGCGTTGTTACTTTGGTCTTCTTCTTTGATTTGAGTTGGTCATAGTGAAACAAGCCCAGAACAGCACCTTCTGCTGCTGACTGGGTATCACTGCAGCCGTCCACCTCCACGTGGTTCACCTCCAGGTCCTGAAGTAACCTGCAGCCGGCTGAGCGCACACACAGAATCACACACAGATATGAGCCAACTCCAGCAAATCCTCCATGTAACCAGTGCTGAAACAAGCAGAGGCGATGTCTCTTACCTGAAACTGCCTGTCTGATGTTCTCCCTGCCGGTGTCCCAGTTCTCTGTCCCACTCACTCCTGGGTTGTTCTTCCCCAGCCCTACTACTGCGACACAGGGGAAGTCCTGGAAAGGATGCAGAATAGATGTCATTACTCTGATGCTGTCATGTCATGGATTTTTCTTAATCTCACGTCAAACTTTGTTACCTTGTGGATTCCATAAAATATTCTGCTCTTGCCTTTCTTGAGCGCAGGTCCAGAGCTGGAAAATTCATAACAGAAGTTTATGAAACACAACAGTGAACAGAGCAGACATCACTCTGGAACAAGTTAGTTAGATATAATGTTTTTCTCATATGGATTAGTAATGTACTATTATGCTTTGCCTTAACAGTGCTACTTTTGGTCTGTACCTGACTTGACTTCACACAACCTTGAGAAATTGTACAAAGTCTGAAATCTAATTCTCCTGATTATATCTGTGCAAGGAATTTTAGGATCCCCATTTCACTGCGACAGATGTCAACACAAAATTGGTTCAGTAATTGTGGCATGTGGAAAAGTTTGGGCAGCCTAAGTTTGTACATAGCTACAGGGGATGCACTGACTTCTTTTCACTTTAATAATCAACAAAATATGTCACCTGCTCAGACTTTTGCATACAACTGCGCACTGTCAGTTTACAGATATGAAGACTCACATTTTCAGTAGTTCAGAGAGTTTTCCAGAGAGAGCTTGGTCAAACCCTGCAGCTGCCTCTGTCAGATGAAGGCTGCCCTCCTCTCCCTCCTTCTCAAACACTCCCAACACCAAACCCTGCAGAGACACACAACAAACACTGTAGGAGAAACAAACGCTCAAAGACAAACACACACCACACACACTGATGCTCACATGAATACAACTCCAGACCAACTCAGAACAGAACTGAATAAAGACACAGCTGTTTCTCCGGTAGTGTCTGACAGGCTTCTCACCTTTCTCTGGTTCAGAGTCTGTGATGCAGAAAACGACCTGCAGTGGTTCGTCCGCACCGTGGTCTGCACGGCTCTCCTCAGAAGAAGCATTGTCATCTGTTGGACATTAATGGACTGACAAAAAAATGAATTACTGTTTCAGAGAGTTAAAGGTCGTAAACATGTGCAGAAGGTAGCCGAGCGGACGGACGTAACACCGTCGCGTTTTTGATTATGTCACCAATAAGCGACGAAGACGGATCATTGTCGCCACCAGGCGGCAGGAGCGGGTTAAAACTGGTTTCTCCTCTTAAACATCAATATTTTTCTGTGCATCAGGTATGTGAAAGCTTCATTTTATGTCAACACTTTGTCAGTGTATTGTGAATATTTCACCTTTATACAGTATCATATTAACATAGATAAATAAATATAATTAAAAAGAGAGAGAAAAAGTCTGAAAAACAACACCAGGCACAATAGAAAAAATGTAGCCAGTTATCAATATGAGTAAGTCTCCAAATAATCAGGTGCAATTTAAGAGAACATTATTATTATTTGGGAGGTCTCCAAAAATAATTTGCATCAACATTTCCACATAAAAAATTTTCATCAATTTTTCATTTATTAAAGGGAGAGACAATATTATTCCCTACTGTAGACGTATATATAAAATTTAGGTCATAAATCTAACAAAACACAGACTAAGGAGAATAAGAAATATGCACTGTAAGTAATTGTTCATTGTTTATTTTATGTTATACAATAAATATGTTTGTCAGAGGTTTGTTAGTTTCCAGCTCCGGTTTCCCTGAGTAAGAGAACGTCTCGAAGCAAAGACATGATGACATGCAGCCAACTCAACACATGAGAGTGCAACCAATCTATTACTTTTCATACAGTAAATGTTCTTTAACTATGGCCAAACCCATTATTTGCATTAACTTTTTTTAAAATGTGTACAAAATAATTCTTATTTTGACCTGCATAGCAGCCAACTACTTCAAATGTGAACAACTTTTGTGACCAATTTTCTAAAGTTAAGTACGTTTAAAGAAGCTCTTATGTAAGCCCCTCACTCACTATGAAGTAAATGTTCATGCCTAACTTTCTGGTAGTAAAGATAATTGCTGTAAACGATTCATTTCAAATCCTTCAGACTTTAGACTTTATTCTGAGAACCATAACAAATCAGTTACTGACATCCCATACATACAATGAAAATAAATACTCATACATTTACACATGCAGCTATAGACAGAATATATAGCACAGGACGTCCAGAGCTCAAAGCCCGAGTATGAGATGCAGGACACTTTGTTTCCATTAATGTGGACGAGGATTAGTTAGTTCAGTCTTAGCTCCTTTGAGCAAGCAAATAGACCTGCAGACCTGCTGTTACTGTCAGCCTCTTCTGTGATCACAACTGCTGGTAGTGTTTGAGAATACAAGTGACCAGTGACTTGACATTTGTAGCCACTTATCATAAATAGTGTAAAATCTGTACAGAGTTCGGTTGTGATTCAGCAATGTGTGCAGTGCGGTGGGGAAGCCTCCAGCACGCCGTGAGTCTGACTTGTCCACAGTCTCTGTCAGGATGGTCAGTGTCTCCTGTGTGTGCCTGTGTGCTGCGATCCCTCTGGTGGTGTACATTATAACTGCTTGGCATACAGTAATTTTAGAGGGAAATATTTTGAAAATAACTGTTGATTACATTGTTTTTCCTAACAGATCAATATATTCTTCTGAAAAATCTCCAGTGTGTGCATCTGATGAAACCATCATCTTGTTTTGTGTTACAGGGTACATTTACATTTACTTAATGTTTTATTTTTGTACATTATTTACCTAACATTTTCATTCTGTTTCTCCATACTACTGTATCTACAGGGTCCATTGCATGTCTGTCTGTAATGGAAGAGGAATTTCTTTTCTGTTGCGCCTCCTGGGGTTCCTCTTGACTTGACTGTTCATCTACTCCAAAAGTGTAATCCACTCCAACATTTGAACAGCTGCCTTACAGCCCAGGCAGCTTTTTGAGGAAGCAAGTCAACACTTTTTTCCAGATAACTGTCACTGACAAATCATGATGTCTTTTTCTAGTGTCAGTTTAAGTCAAAATCAATCATGAGGCTAAATTGTGATTATATAATGAGCCTAAGGGGCCAACCATAAGTGATGAAAGTGCTAAAATGTTGCGTCTTGTTTGGTCTTTCAGTAGAGCAGGTCCAGAGCAGAGATGGTGGGTTCTTCAGGTTTCTTGATCTCTGGTTTGGGCAGCTTGATCCGGCTCATGGCGACCACTCCACAGACGGCAAAGTGAGTCGTAACGCTGCCTACACCCAGCCAGAAGGACCAGTCCAGGCTGTCATCCAGGACCACGAGGACAAAGAGGTTCTCCTGATAGTTTGCCACCCGCTCAGTCAGACTGTGCTGCTTCATAGCTGCCAGGAAACACAAAACACCCAGGGCACCGAAAAAAGCTGAAAAGAAATACAAAATGAGTTGGGCAAAATAAATGGATTTCTCACAAGAAAAGAGATGGGATAGTGCACTCAGTTGCAAATAAAAGAAAGAAAGGAAATGCAGGGCAGGGAAATGAAAAACAAAGCAATATTTGAGGGACAGAATAAAGACAAAGTCCCCTCACATACCAGCAATGACGTTCCACAGGTAGAGTCCTTTGTGCCCCTTGATGCTCTGGTAGGGAACCTTGCGTGCGTTGTAAATACAGAAAGACAGACTGACCAGAGCGAAGCCAATGGCCACCAGCAAGAAGAGGATCACCATCATGTGAAGGCCACTGTTCAATGTTCGTATGAGCTTTGGGAAAACTGGACAGTCAGACAGAAAACGGAGAAAAAACACACATCATCAGCCCTGCAAAATGATTTGTTTGAGTCAAGATGAAGAAACTGAGAAACACACTCAGCGGCCACCAGATTAACTGTCGTCCTTGGCAGCAACCAGAAATAGAGTACGTGAGGAAGTGGGAAGGTTGCTGATGTGAAAACGTGAACAGGTGAATATAATGTGTGGATGCAGTATATTGTGTTATTGCACACATTTCATATTGGACAAGAAGCTGGAGTTGTGTGCCACCTAAACAACACCGGTGCATGTGTGCCATTGGCAGAAAAATGAACGATAGTGTCTTTACAGTCAGAAGATCCATGTAGAAGTTGATCATATTTTAAATGACTATTTAGGCACAGATTAAGGCAGTCTTACTTGCCGGAAAATGTTGGAGCATGACGTTCTCTGGTAATTGTATTTATGTGCTGACAGAATCATATTGCATATGATGTTATTTTTGATATAATAATTAATAATTTGAAATTTAATCACCTAAAGTTATTTAATAAGTTTGCATTGTGATATTTAAGTCAGTAGTATGTCTGAATGTTTGCAGTACATTTGGAGGTAGCAGCAATGTATCTTAATATGTGTTTCTTTTTTTATAATAAAAGACAGTATCCTCATACCTATGTTTAAATGCTTTCAAATGTATTAATAGTGTAGTTTGTCATGCTTTTATGGTTCATACGGAGTTCATAGGAAAATAAGCCAGAAAAAGTATTTAAAAGACGGGCAACATAGAATATATAACAATTTACACAGACAAGATTAAATGAGCTTCTATTAAAAAACATGACACCTAATTTCAATTCTAAGAAACTGGTGTGTATTTGTAATTATGTTAATATTTCCACTATACTATTTCGTCAAATGGAAATATTCTGCTTGATGTCTTGTAAATCATGTTATACAAAGTTTTCCCAAAATTCTGCCTGATATAGGACTATTTGGTAATTTTGGAAACTCTCCAAGACTTGTTTTGCTCAGTATCTAAAGCTGTTGGTGCAGGAGCTAACAGGCATCAAAAAAATAGAAGAAAATAAAGTTATATTATCTGCATTCATATAATTAGTCTGTATTTCATGATGACTTCATTATGTTTTAAACACAGGAGGAAGGGAATGAGGAGAGAGGAGAGGGCTCAGAGTGGCTCATATACTGTATTTGATCCTACTATATATTTTGGAGCGCCGCTTCCCGAGCCCGCACTTCTTGCTCTTTCCTCCCTGGAACAAGCCGTAATAAATGTCCCCGATGAACTGGTCCAGCTCCGGATGGGACGCGTTCACTATCTCCGCTCCGGTTTTACACAGAATCCGTCCGGTGACCCACCGCTCCGTGGACAGGGCCACGACCAAGAGCGCCACAGAGCCGACACAGAGAACCGAGGCCACCGAGAAGGTTATCCGTTTCCACAGAGAAGGCATCTTAGGAGCCCATGGTGCCCCGAGGGAGGTAACAAGACACCCGGCAGCGACCGCGGAGCGCACTCGGCGATCACCATGAGTTTATTCTAGAGTTTGAAAAGAAAAAATAAATCATAATCCGACAAAAAAAAAGGTTGTTTCACTTGGTGAAATGATGCATGTATGGACGCATGAGTCACCTGGGAGGAGAAACCGAATCTATGGCGGTCAAAGAGATCCCTTACCGGGAGAAACTCTATCCTTTCCCTGTGCGCCTGGTTTCTGCTCCCTCTCTCTCGCACACAATCCTCTTTATTCAGGGGATGAATTAACCTTTACCAGTTGGTATTTGGAGCTGGAAATGTAATTGGTGACCTTAGTGGTGGCTGCAGCTATAAAATCATGTAAGCACAGTTAATTGTGTCAGAATGACAGATGTGGTCCATTAGAACACACACCCGAAAAGGTCAGGTTATGGCACCAATGAGAAATCTCATATGTTATTGTTTGCATGCTCCACTTAATTTAGGTCTATCTTGTGCATATCAGTAGTCTACATTTAATAAAGTTGTGTACCTAAGTACAATTGTGAGTCTGCTTTGTGATGCAGTACTTTCTCCTCCACTGTATTATTTATAAATAACGAAATGGTGTGGATACAAGTTTATATTATTCGCAGAAAGTGCAACAGTTTCAGCTCAACCAGACCCAAGTCAGTGCACATGACTACAGCACATTTATTATATGTTGCCCAAAGGTATTAAAACAGTAGTTACTGAAAAGTTGGTAAGTCAAAATTTTGACATAGGGCCCATCCACATGACAAGGTCTCAAGATGAGGGGGAAAAAGCAGGATCAGCCTTGAGGCCAGGAGCAGGGGACGGCTTATGGGGCCCCAGCCCTGGATGTTTTCCCAAAAGCCCTGACTCTTATATGTAGTTCATGGTATTTATAAGTGTGCACCACCTCAATGTCCTATGCATTTAATATTTTTGAATCTTCAGTTTATGATCAAAAATATTAAAACTCTTTTTGTTTTATTTGATTTTTTTTAGTGTAGGACATTTCCAGGGATAAATGAATGGACCTGAGAGAGTTAAAGAAGAAGAGAGGTTGAGGCAATCAGAACAGAGTGATAAAGAGTAGATCAAATAAAATACTCTACGATGATATTACAGTACATGTTCATGTTGTTTATCCTATGATGCTATTCCTTAAAGAAATTTAATATCATTAGAATAAATGTTGGCCTAATATTCAGTTCAGAGTAGTGAAGACATTTTCTTGGCCTTGTTGTGGATCCATGTCTGCTCAGTTAGAGCTGCACATATAATTGTCCTATAATTGCTATATATGCTCTATTTGCTTTAGATTTGTCGTCTAAACATTAAATCTGTGAACTCTACTCCAGCATACTGTAACAAAAGTGGGTTTCAAGATGATGCTGTTTATGCCAAATTCTTTCCCCACCTATGTCATGTAAATTTAACCTAGTAACATCAGACAATCAGACAACAGAGAACAATTAGATTCAAAATATGATGCAGGCTCTGGATGATTTTTTTTCCTGGGCAACTATCATGTTTTCCCCAAATGATGTACAATGACTTGATACAGTGAATAGTGCATGTAGCTGCTGTGAATGGGGAAAAAAATTCCCAAGGGGAGCATGTCCCCTGAATATAGACTTAAGTTGGGGTGAAGCACTGAATGTTTACAATGTCTGACTACATCCCCACTTGAGGCCCTTATCATTTTGTAGCTTCTAAGGTGCTTTAGTGATGTAAATTACCAAAGCAATTCCATATTTCCATTATTTTCCATTATTATTGTAATTTCTTTGTCATTTAAGGTATGTATGTCTGTATGTTTTATAGTCTTATTCTGAAATATAATTCCCCCATCTTTTATTCAAGCTGTGATGTGTGATTGTTATACGTTTTATCGTCAACAAAGACGTTTTAAGGGTGAAGAGGGGAAAAGCAATCATTCAGTTATTAATAATTTATTATCAAGGAGTAAAATGACTTACTGAGCTTTTCATGACACCTGCTGGCGATTTGGTGACACTACGGGGCGTGATGACGTCACGACGTGTGACGCAGATGTCAGTCTCCCAGGCAGCAGCTGAGATCGTTAGGCGAAGATGGCGGACTCGCTGTCGACAGGTCTGGGAGAAGAGAAAGAGAAAGAGAAGGAGGACAGGGAGAGGGACAGAAAGACTGCAAAAACCGAGAAGAACAAGGAGAAGGACGAAGTCACGGAAACGCTGGGGTTCAACGATAAAAATGGCGGCAGTAAGGGCAAGAAACGCAACCTGTCAGGTGAGAGCTAGCCTCGTTTCCACAGCCACAGACCCCCTCAGTTTGACAGCGCTAAGCTAGCTGCTGAAATTATTGTTTTTTGCCTATTATTGTTTATTCACAAGCAAATATGTTTGGGTTAGATTACACTTCTGCACTGTAAGTGTGGTTATCTGTGATAATCACCTTTCTTGAGCACGCAGTTGCAATTTTAGTCAGTGGAGTCTCTGCAGCTGAGGGCGCTGCTCAGTGTTGCCTGATTTGCTTAAAAAAGTAGCTCAGTAGGAGCCTAAAATCCACCCAATCGTCATAAAAGTAGTCCAATCTGTAAATTTTATGGACGTTTTTTGTGCATCACATACGTGTATATGCATATATGATTAAAACGTTAAAAGGTAACAGCTGTAGCTAAAGATACATAAAGTATAATGTTGCTATGGACTCACTGAGGTAATATGTGGGATACACCTTAAATCCCTAATTTTAGCCGATACGTGTTTACATTTTGGAAAATTAGGTACGCCGAATTTGTTATTAGCGGTTCCTGATTGCTGCGCACCATTGGACACACCGACACCAGTCAATGACTAAGTTAGAGACTGAAGAAAATTAAAAAAAGGGGGTTATTTTAGAGCAAGTTCTGCAGTTATAGGAAGCATCTTTTTCTGTGACTTCTAAGCGGGTTTATGGACGTGTACTTGCATTATACAATGGAGGCAAATATATTTGTAAAGCCTAAGTCACATTAAATCTAAAATTATGTGCATCATATGTTTTTGTTTAGGTTTGACTGGGTTATGACACAAATGGCTTTTACACTAGTTGAACTACTTTAATTGCCGCTGATGCAAACTTTGATGGTGTTGATAAGCGGGTAAGACTAAAATAACTTTTTGTCGTGCATGCACCTGCCCCTTTTACCTCACACAACGGTATAGTCTCTCCCGGCAAACCGCCCAGTCTTGCATTAGTGGCGTTGCAGCGAGTTGGCACTGATCTCAGGATGTAGCGACCACCTCAGACACTGAGTGTCAAACACTGAGCTGGATTAAAGTAACGTTAGGAGGCTAATTTATCTTGTATGCACCCTTGTTAAAATTGGTAGTATCGACTGCAGTGGTGGAATGTAGCTATACATAATAAGTATAATTTTGAGGTTGTACTTTACTTGAATATTTCCCTTTTTATTCTACTTTATACTTATACTAATACTATCAATTATCTAACAGTTTTATCCACTATTTTTCAGATTAAGATTTTAACATTAAGATTTTGTAAGATTTTACATGAAAAAAACATATCATAAGCTCATAGCATGTAAGGGTAGATTCTAATTCAGAAAACATGAGTACACTATGTACAGTGTCAAGTTTGTGAGCTTGTGGTTTTGTGATACAACAAGACATGGATACAACTGATCTAGAATAGACAGCACAAGAGGTGTTGGTATGGCCGTACTTAAGTAGAATCTTGAATACAAGTACTAATACTAACCCTGAGAGAACAAAGCTCCCTCAGAGTTGCAAAAAACATCATACAACTGTTTTCACTGGCTGGGTAGTAGTTCCTGTAAGTAATAAATTGACTTTGATACATAAAATGGTGCAGTGCATCTCTTTTAGACAACAGTGTGTTTCCAAGGCCTTTCCTGTGTCAATATTGCAGTGCCCCCATGCACAAAGTGAGGTTCATAAACAGTTTCTCCATTTTATTGTGGAAGAACTTGATTGACCTGCACAGCGTCCTATCAACTTTGGAACCCTGACTGTGAGCCAGGCCTTATCGCCTAACGTCAGTGGCCAACCTCACTAATGCTCTTGTGGCTGAATGAGAGCAAATCCCTGCAGCCAGGTTCCAAAATGTTGTTGTAAACCTTCCCAGAGTAGTGGAGGCTGTTATGGCAGCAGATTACTGTCCATGGTTTTAGTTTTAGTGTAGGTAATTCAGATTTCCAGGGGTTTGCTGAATCTTAATTTTAAGTTGCTTGGTTGATTATTAGCTAAGGACTTATCTTTGTTTGCAGTGGAAATGCACAAGCAGGCAGCCATTATTAACCTCTGGATGTAAGTCATCAAAGCTTTTAGGATGGCAGTTATTTGTATCACAAAGGTGGGTGGGTGTGTGTGGGGGTGGAGGTTCCTTACAATAGACAGGTGATGGTTACATGCTCAAGGAAAAGAGCACAATCTTGATCATGGAGACCTGAGAAAGAATGGTTGGTTTAGTTGGTCTTTATGTATGTTTTCAATGCTTTTTCTCCGTCCTTGTGTATCTAGACTTGTCTCTGGTCAGATTTATAACTACTGAGCTCACCAGAGGCTATTTCCTGGAACACAATGAGGCCAAATACACAGAGCGCAGAGAGAGGGTCTACACTTGCCTCCGCATCCCCAAGGAGCTGGAGAAGGTAAACACGCAAAACATTCACTCTGGAAAATTAAAAATATATGACAAATACATAAATTAATTTTCCTCTCTCTCTTTCTCTATAGTTGATGACATTCGGCTTCTTCTTGTGTCTGGATGCCTTTCTCTACGTGTTCACGCTGTTGCCCCTCAGAGTTATTCTGGCCCTCTTACGACTCCTCACACTGCCATGCTGTGGCCTCAGGTAAAGTTCACACAGAAGTGTCTGGTGCGCGGGTTTCAAGCAGTTTTCTTAATTGATCTTTGTCCACATTGACGATAAGCATTCAATTAATCATTAAACGCTTTTTCCTGAACACAAGCTTTATTCAAACAATTGACAATTGAGTACAGTATTATGATTTACAGTATATTTCCAGTCAGTAAACATTCACTATAAACCACCTCAAGACCTAAAAAAATGACAGTAGAGTCTAATTCATACCTCTCTTACACAGTTTTTACAAAAGTACAATACACATTATAACCTGCTATGCTTTTGAGATGTCTATGTCATGTGTAGTTCAAGTTATTTAGAAGAGTGTACCCTTTCTCTGGATGAGTTTGAACATCTGTAAAAACTACTATTGAAACTGACAAGTATTTTGGTTGGTATTTGGTTTTAAGTAATTTATCAAGCCAAACTTTCAGCCATTCCTATGTGAGGATTTGTTTATTTTTTGGTTTTATTATCTGTTTAAATTGAATATCTTGGAGCCTCAGGCAATTGGTCAGACTGGTGTTCTGCACAATTGTGATGGGCACTTTTCTCATTTTTAAAGACTAAACAATTATAAATTATTGAAAAACTAATTGACAAAGTAATTGATAATGAAAATAATAGTTACTTCCAACTCTACAAACTGACAGATACATACGGATTTGATGAGTAGTTTCAATTGTCAACATGTAGATTCATAAACAGAAACAGCCATTGCATTATTGTTCTTGACGTCTAGGGGGCAGTAGAGCTCTCTCTGACTGCTCCAACTGAACAGATTATAACAACCTGCGTTCTGTTGCTCTCTTCTTCTGTTGTTTTTGTGATTTCCTTCTGCGAATATTTTCTTCATCTGTATTTTGTGTGTGTGTGTTTTAGTGGCTCCCGCCTGCTTCAACCAGCCCAGGTGTGTGATGTGCTGAAAGGCTTCATTATGGTATTGTGTTACTCAATGATGAGCTACGTGGATTATGCCATGATGTACCACCTCATCAGGGGACAGTCTGTCATCAAACTGTACATCATCTACAACATGTTAGAGGTACACTCAAATAATACTTCCCAGTGTTTCTAACTCTGATCGTGCAGTATAGTCAGCCATCCACTCATACACTCTCCTCGCCCTTGTTGTGTTATCAGGTGGCGGACCGCCTCTTCTCATCATTTGGCCAGGACATCCTGGACGCTCTGTACTGGACAGCAACCGAACCCAAGGAGAAGAAGAGAGCGCACATCGGCGTGATTCCTCACTTCTTCATGGCCGTGCTCTATGTCTGTATCCTCTCTGAGAAGGATGGTGGTTGTTGTTACCAGTTTGTGTATCTTTGTAAGATTGTATGCTTCTGTACATGAGCTGATAAAAAAGATATAGAAAAATAGAGTTGTCTACAACAGTGTTAATAGTCAGTTAAATCATTTAAGTAGTTGAATCAGTGATTCCTGCTTCTAAACTGTGAGTTACTAAATATTTTTTCATTTTGGACTGTCACATAAGATAAGTTATTTGAAGATGAAAACTTAATATTAATGTTTAACAATTCCAGACATTTTAAAGACCAAACAATTAGTCAGTTAATTGTAAAATAATCAGCAGATTAATCAATAATGAAATAATCATTAGTTGCAACCCCACACAGCTTTTCTTCAAACTACTAGTGCATATTAGTAAATGTATATCAGAATAAAAAACACAGCAGGATGTTTTTTAGTGCAGTCCTCAGTATGTCTTTTCCTTAACATGTTTGTATTCAGTTCTCCATGCCATCCTCATCATGGTTCAGGCCACAACCCTCAACGTAGCCTTCAACTCCCACAACAAGTCTCTGCTCACCATCATGATGTCAAATAATGTAAGTGTGAGGCACACAGCCATATTAACTTGGAGTAAAACATATGCGGAAGTATGAGTTCGGTCATGATATTTTTGGGTTTTCTTGCAGTTTGTGGAGATCAAAGGAAGTGTGTTTAAGAAGTTTGAAAAGAACAACCTTTTCCAGATGTCAAACAGTGGTAAGTGGTCAATAATGTATAAAACAGCCAAATATGTGCCACTTAAATCAGTGTTTTTTGGACATTTTGTACCTCAGCCTTTGAACTTGGTGATTTAGTACAAGGTAAATTTATGGAATCAAACTCAGCCGCTCTGAGTACAAAGTAGGTTAATCCAGGATTGATTTGTTTGTTTCCCACAGACATAAAAGAGAGGTTCACCAACTACATCCTTCTGCTCATCGTCTGTCTGAGAAACATGGAGCAGTTTTCATGGAACCCTGGTAACTAACACTGATGTACAAATACTGAAATCTATACAGCTGGTTTATCTAAATGATGAGTTCAATATGAACACCACTCTGCTTCTCATAAGTCCATCTTCAGTTCCTCTCAGTGTGGTTCAGCATTTCACTTTCACTGACTGACTCATATCCACATTATAACTAATATTGAACTGAATATTGACACTGATCCATTTTCAATGTGTTTGTTTTTAGACCACCTGTGGGTGCTGTTTCCCGATGTAGTCATGGTGATAGCCTCAGAGGTTGCCGTGGACGTTGTCAAGCATGCTTTCATCACCAAGTTCAACGACATCAGTGCTGATGTGAGGGCTCACAGTACAGTACTCCATACAGTTCTTTCACAGTTTAATAATGACACTGGTTAGTTTTTGATGTGTATGCTTGACACTGAACAAACTCCATCTACGCAAGAAGACTGTGAGATGCAGTTGAAATCTCAGCTAGTAAGTGAACATTGAGTTAGGATTATCTCGTCCTTCTACAATTTCAAATATCAAGAATGAAACTTCAGGCTCGAGAGACCAAAAGTGCTTTCATCTTCATCAACACTTGATGTGTCAGTGTTTTACAAAGTGGTTTTTACTCTCTCTCTCTCTCTCTCTCTCTCTCACACACACTGTCTCACACACCATCCCACTCACAGCAGATACCCTGTAGTATCAGAAGGAAACTGCCAGGCTTTTTTTTGTATTGTGCCGACCTTGTTCACGTCACCCCTTCGTCTTTCCTTCGTTTTCTCATCCTCTTTGGTTTTCTTCAAGGAGTTTTAACCATGTTTATGTAACAGAAACCATCTCCCCAAGAAGGGATTAACCCCTTTATCTTCAAACTGTCAAACCTAATCACACAAACCTGACTCACATGTAGTTGGTGTTCAAGCGCTTGTGAATTTATGTTCGTTCTCATTGAATTCATGTGTGCACATTTTTGTTTTTTTACATTGTATTTAACTGACTTAACTAATCTTTACTACCTCTACTTGTACTCTCACATTTATCCACAACACCAACTAATAAACAGATGAACATATTATGCAGCTTTGGTTTTATGCACACATTTCTCACCTGTAATTTTTATTACCTGGATACACTCTGCTCATTCCATGTAAATCAGTAACTGCACAATTGTTTGATATTAAGATTTTTCTTCTTTGGCTGACTTGTGTTGTGTTACTCTGTGTCATGTTCCAGGTATACGGAGAATACCGAGCCAGCCTCGCCTTTGACCTTGTCAGCAGTCGACAGAAAAATGTGAGAAAATAAACTTAAACATTAATTTTTTCTCCAAGAAACCATCATGCAAGTTTCAGGCAAACATTTGAAGTTTTCCTCCAGAAGATATCTTGATTTATTTTGTCTTCATCAGCAAGGCTAGACTAGCTGAACTTACAGTGTAGCTGCAAAGTTGAGAAAATGTCCACTCATCTTTCCTTTTTTGTTGTAATTCGCTGTGGACTGACTACTGCATAGGTTGAGAAACAAGAAAAATGCTGGTTTTTGATGTTTTCTTAGATAATGTGTTAAATGTGTCCACAGGCTTACACAGACTACAGTGACTCAGTATCCAGGAGAATGGGCTTCATCCCGCTTCCCTTAGCTCTGCTGGTCAGTCACTCTTTATGGAGATGTTCATTGCTATTGCTATCATGTTCAATGCATACAGTATAAATCTAACATTTTGCTTGTGTCTTGTTTTTTCAGTTGATCAGAGTAGTGACCAGCTCAGTGAAAATCCAGGGTTCACTCTCCTTTATGTGTGTGCTGCTGTTTTACTTGGGGTAAATGTCAAGTTGTCTTTTCCAAGTTTTGAACACACATCATAGGTTTTATTAGTTCTGCATCTCTCAGGGTTTTTTCTATCAATTTTCTTTGCCTGTTTGCACTTAAACATTTCTGTGTGTGTTTGTGAACAGGATGATCACTCTAAAGGTGCTCAACAGTATCGTTCTGCTGGGGACATCTTGTGTGTTTGTCAAAGAGGCCAATATGGAAGAAAAGCTCTTCGACCCTCCACCTTCTGTCGTCTCCAGCCGTGCAAACTCCAGAGCTAACCGGACCAAACACGTTCACACTTCACCACAGCAAGGTAGCACTCAAAGTGTCCCTTTTTCTCTTAATTGCTCCCATTTAAACTTGAACATGCTCCCCTGACAGGTTCAAAATATGCATTCAAACCTGCCCTCTGATTTACCCACAACCTCTGACGCTCCAGCCGCCCTCACAGCTCTTGTCAGATTGTTGTTCCAGTGTCATTCTGTCTTTCCCATTGATGTTCCACACAAACACATTTCAGACATTTCTTACCTTCAGACTTCAGTGCTTATATATCATTATATCATATTAATGTGTATGCTGACCAGTATCAGCTTGTGTTGCGCTGTCATTACCCGCAGCATCTACAGTAAAAGCAGTGACAGTGACTTCACTCCCTTCAGTCCTAGAGGCTGGATTTCTGGATTTTCACTGGGAAAAAAAGTTAAATAACTTCTGTTGTATTGGACTCTCCAGTCTGGGACCGGAAGCAATTGATGTTGTAATAAAGTAGCTATTCATAACAGTGCTTTTCCTGGCTCAAAACCAGGTGCAGGTGGTGCCATCCTGATCATGTGCATACACATGCATGTGTACTGTGCCTTCAACTGCCTCAATTGCTTTTTACAAGCAACACATCTTGAGAGTTCTAGCGCCTTTCCCAGTGCACCACCACATCGGTGTAATGCTGCAAGTGCAGTTACAAATGACAGAAATCCAAAAAGTCCAACACTTGTTAGATAGTGTTTTCCATGAAGAGACTTATAAAGTTGTAGCGGCACAAAATTTGACAGTAATTCCCTATGCAGGAAAAACCTTGCATATAATCTACTAACTCAAAAAAAAAGAATGGATTCAGTGTTAAATTACTCTTAAAGTTTCTCATCTATTTACATTGAACTCTCTCTCTTGCAAACAGAACCCACAGCTGACAAAGGAGGAATATCACTGGTATCAGACAATGCTCAGCCCGCCACCGTCGCAGAAAGCTCTGCTCCCACACTTCCCAAAAGCGACTCGGACACATTCCTGACAACGCCTGACGAAGAGGACGATGACAAAATTATCAATGCTGACACAGGACTGGAAGGAGACGGTCTCAAACCCAGAACACCCAAGAAAGACTTGCTGGAGATAGACCGCTTCACCATCTGTGGCAACCGAATAGACTGAACGCCATAGGAATAGCCAGTCAGTGTCCTGGAAACACAGCAAGGTTCAGGGATCAGATACGGGTCAAGGAGCATGCTCAGACCGGACTTATTCTTGTGCATCTGACCCCTGGAGTATTTATTTATTTATTACTGACAAAACCAGCCGTGGCATAAAGCTGTTACACGCATCAGAGGTCGCTTCAGATGTTTCCAGCTGATCCAGTCCATTTCCCGTTCATCAGGTAGACTCTGATGATATTCTGTTGTCATCATGGCAACCTGCAGAAATGCAAATTGATTTCAGCAATGCGGAAAACTGGTGTACACAGCTGGAGCGGAGCACAAAGAGAGAAACAAAACTACATATGTGAAAATGTGTGTGATCCTAGGAACGTAACAGCTGGACTGTGCAAGTGGGTGTTCAAAAGCACAATCATATGTACAGTGCGGAGTTGTTTTTAGACAGAACAAAAACTTGTCAATTTTTTAATTTTTTAATTTCAAATGTCTGAAAAATTCTAATATTTCAAACGAAGTTTATATGAAAAACGTTTTTTCTAGACTCGACCGTGTTCAGCTGCAGGATTAAGACTCACTATCACATGAACACATTGTTGAAAACTCAAAGTCGTTCTACAGACACACACACCAACACAAATTTAAAGAGGTTGTTTTTGAATTGAGTTACTGTGAGGAGCTCAGATGTCCATAGGTGAAGTCCAACACGTTAAACATGGCAGCAGTGACACTATGTACAGTCTGGCATGAGTGCATTGTGCTTGGGTTACACAGTTTGGACTTTTACTTTTAGACACAGATAAAAGTTTTGAGGTTTTAGTCTCATGCCATTTGTGTTGCTATTTGAAGCACTGAGACAAGACAGTGCCGGTTTGTGAAAGCGCTAGTATTATTTTGAAGTGACCTCCAAGCCAAACAGGTTTGGCAGATATTTCTTTTTAAAGTTTTTTTTTTTTTTTTCAATATGGTTCATGTGTACTCTCATCACTCAAGCATGCAGCCTCGGATAATCATTACAACAACATAGGCATATAGCAATTTTTATATTGGAAACTGTGATCTTAAGAAATGTCTTGGTGAGGTACCATTGTGTGCTTGCTCTCATTTTGAATTCATGGTGTGTGACACCAGCATCAACTTAACATGTTTTCCAGTTCTTCATCATTATTTTGACACTGATATGAAAAATAATTAAGATTACATGTTTGCAGGTAAAATGGTCAAGTGTTGTGTCTGAAGGCGTAGACACAGATGTTAGAGTGAGTCACATCTAAATGACAGGAAAGAGGAAAATAATAGCACTGTAATTGCATGAAAGCAGTGAACGCAGCATTTGCCATAGCGCTGTACTTGAGGAAAAATCAGGTTTGGTCTGTAAAAGTTGTTGGCATCGTTTGGTGTGGTTGGCTTCTGGCTGTGAGCATTGGAAGACACAGGCTTACTAAACAGTCTTGGATGCCGTGAAAGCTTGAGGCATTGTTTAATCAGGTAAGCGTATTAAACAACTCCGTCTGCTCTGAAGTGCCAGGAGTTGCATGTCAGGGGCAAAAGTTAAGTCCAACCAAGCTCTCATTTTTGCCTCTCATGTATTATCATTACATGCAAGCCACCGTGCTATACATTTGTTTTGTTTTGTTTTTGGAAAAATACCAGGTGATCTTTGAAAAACCCAGAAGCCCTTTTGACAACTTATTGCTGTTCTGAAGCTTAATGAAAAAGTTTGCTGCCAATAACAATTTTAACCAGTTTTCAAGTCATAGCTCTGTTTTCTTAATCCAGAGTTGCTAGCCAAAAATAGCATATCTCCTTGCTCAATTTTTACTTGAACCAAAATTTAGGTTTTATTATTAGAACTACACTATTTGTCTGTATTGCTGTTTCTTTGTATTATCTTAAGTTTTTGTACAAAATAACATGTTTATATTTTTCTTGTGTCGTGCAAAAGTAAGTAAGAAATTAATTAATTTCCAGCTATCTGGGAAGGAATTAGAGTTGCAACTTGAAAAATAGGTTACAAAGGTCTTGCACAACATAAAGTCATAGTGACGTGTGTGTAAATCAACAACTCTTGACTGGGAAACAAACACTTTCAGTTACATTGCAGTGCACATCATCAGTTCATCAGCCAAAAAAAATTATTAATTGAGTACAAGTGATGGACAGTGTGGGGTTCCCTCTGAACAGAAGAAAATGTTGTTAATGGATGTAAAATGGATGCTAAGCTTTGCTGTGACTCAGTGGTTGTACATGAGAGGCACAAACCTGGCATAAGTCGAACCTCACTATAGGAGGACAGTCAATACAGTGACATAACTGCATACTTGCAAATGAAGGATCAAGAGTGTGTATGTGTCGGTATGTGTCAGTGTGTGTGTGTGTGTGTGTGTGTGTGTGTGCGTGTGTGTGTGTGAGAGAGAGAAATTGCAGTGTATGAATGGTTCTCACTGCTTATGTATGAATCAGATATTGATGTTTTTATTTTTCATGTACAAACCATCTGTGTAATGCATCTCCTTACATGGTAGAAGGAGAATAAAACAAGATTTTGTTTTGTAACCCTTTGTGATTTGAATGTTTAACTAGTGTGTGTGTGTGTGTGTGTGTGTGTGTGTGTGTGTGTGTGTGTGTTTGCACGGGAAAACAGTGGCAAGTGTTTCAGTGAAAGGAGTCACTTCAGGCTCTGTTCACAGGGCAAACACTGCTGTCCACTGTTCCCCCTGAATGGGCATGTTGGGGGGGGTCTGTCATCACACGGAACATTCACACAACACGGGGGAGCGGGGGTTTCTGCCAAAGGTCTCAACCCTGATAAATTATCTGCCTCTGGATACATGACTTGCATTTTCCTGATTATTTAGACATATTTCACGTTTACATTTAACCAGTGTTGTGTAAAGTGACTGAGACACGTGAGGGGGTGAGAGAGGTTGGAATAGAGGGCTAACATATCAGAGACTTCAAAGCTATTTTCCCAGACTTAGATAACTGAACTAGGCTAACGATAATTTTTAACTGAGTTGGGTTTTCCCTTTTTTGAACTTGAACCTTATTTGTTTGCCAAAATTTCTCTAGCCTTGGCCAGCTATCTGCTCAACCTCAGAGATCAAAGGTCAGTTGTTCAGTGACAAGAGTATAGAGTCAATGACCTGCTTCACATGCATAGGGAGACCCACTGTGATTATGTAGTTTGACTGTCTTGTAAACCAACGGTTTAACACTACCTGACAGTGCTCAGGTGAGCCGGCATAGTGGAGGACACACATACACAGTGAAAATATGTGGCCTTAGCTCTTTAAACTTTTGTAGGTAGACCAGAGCTCACCTAAACAGAACGCAGCCATCGTTAATATTATTTACACCTGTGTTTTCTCTTCTTTGAAAAGTCAAAATGTCTGCCTTGAGAAGGGTCTGTATTGGCTTGGCTTAATAAAAGGCAACTATAGCAGTGGTGGAACGTAACTAAGTCCATTTACCCCTGTACTTTCACGCAAAAGTGCCAAGTAACTATTTGATGGTTCCAGTTTTCTGATGTTTTACATTATAAACAATTAACTGAGTATATAATTGGTTGATTAGGCAGCTATGACAATAATCTTTAGCTGCATCTTTTTAAAAAAGAAATGCTGCTTCTGGCCAGCTGCAATATTAAAATGCCATTTACAGAGGACCCAAGAGGTCAGAGGTCAGAGATCATGGGGCCCCTGGGTCTGTGCCCAGCAGGCCCATTCAGTAATCAGTCCATGCTAGTAATATTTTTATTTGAGTGACATTTTCAATGCAGGACTTTTACTTGTAATTAAGTTTTTTTTTAAAATTTGCAGTAAAGGATCAAAATTTCTCCACCTCTAACCTGTCACTATATTATACAGAGAGAGAGTAGAGAGAGACTTGGACAGGTGATTGGACCCCGCGGTGTCGCGCGCCACAGATGCGCCCGGCGAGCTTTCAGCGAGCACGAGCGTCCTGGGGTTTTTTTACGTGCACGCGAGATTAGGCTGCTCGCAGCAGGCAGCCGGTGAGAGTGAGGACACCGAGATAACGAGCACATCCTCGGCCGTTGGTCCGTTGAGTCGTCGAAGAGCTCCGGGAAGATGTCTGTGATGAGTCCTTACCGAAAAACCAGGAGCTAACGGCTGCTATGATCTCGACCGTTGGATGACAAGTTTAAAAGTTTTGCTTCGGACGGTTGTTTCTGAGCTGAGGGGATAAGCCGCCGAGAGGGACAGGTGTCCTCTCACGTCAACAGCCCTTCTCCCTTTTCCATCCCCCGCTGGACTGTAGTACGACCGGGGCTCGGAGTTGTCCTTTATTTTAATTAGTGTTCTTCTGTTTTTGCACAAAAGTGGACTTTTGTGAGCCATGTTGTGGACACGGTGGCTCGTCTTGCTGCTCTGCTGGGGGGCCACGAGCGGCGAGCAGCAGGCGGATGAGAGGGATGGAGCACAGGCAGAGGTCCGGGCGGAATCCCGGAGACAGCGGTCCCCTCCACCGGTGGAGCCCTTGGATTTTGGGTTTGTACCGGCGGCGGTTTATGGTACCCACGCTTACTACGAGCCAGGGGCCGTAGGGATCCTCTTCCACATGGTCCATGCTTTTCTCTACGTTGTTCAACCGAACTCCTTCCCCAAAGGTGAGATTATTACCTCCCCCTCCCCCCAATCCCTGCTCTTTTTTCTCCATCCCTCAACTCGTGTTCTGTTTCTTCTTCCCAGGATTTCTCTCACATGATGAGGGATACAGGAATATTATCAGCACTCCTGTATCTACTGAATACAAATTGTTATATCACTCCTGTTGAATTAGACCAATTTAACTTGTGTCTGTGCTTCTGGCTCTAACAGTTGCACCCAGTTCTGACCCAACAGATTTAATGACCTGCATTTCAGCTTAATTGCAAATGAGTTTTACTACTGTACTGTATTCTGTGTTATATTTGTGACACCAGAGATTTTAGATAGGATCACAACGATATTGGTTGGATAAAATAAAATAAGACAGATCTAAATTAATCCTGAGATAAGTTGTATACCACCCATACTCAATATATAGTATGTGTGTGGTAAAATAAAAGACACATTAATAATACAAAATAATAAAAAGAGAGGAAACATAGTGTATATGTATAAATAGAATAAAGGGAACTGCAAAGTACAAATAATGGGAATTACCTGCAATGAAAACTGCATAAAGGTGCATCTATGTTACAGTATGGCTGTTACTATGCAATACAGAAAGATGCACCAGTGTTATAGTATAGTATAGTATATAGTATATAGTATATAATGTTACAAATGTTACAAATTACAAGCATAGATATAAAGAATTTGGGTGGAAGAATGTATGATCTGTATCACAGTTTGAGGGGGATTACACTGCAAGCAAAAGATGTAATAAACCGGTGGATTGAGTTGAGCATGGTGCATGACATCAGTGTCTGTTTTAATATTAGATAGATAAAACTAAGGGTAACAAGATTATTATTGAGATAGAAAAGACAAAAATGTACATTTCTGCAATATGAAACCATTTATTTTCTGACATTCTGTCTAATTTTTGTTTATATCTTGTGAAATACTTAATATTGTCTGAATCCAGGTCGCTAAAAACCCTTCAAATGAAACACTCTTTGGACATGAACTGCTCACAGGTTATAACCTATCCAAAAAACACTCAAAATGTCAGAGACTGCAGTGGTAGGAATTATCTGCACATAAAATCTGTACTATAGCTTGGATGATTTAAAGCATGATGTCCTAAAAAACACTTCCCTCGTAGTGGCCCTAAAATCCTTCTGGGTCAGAAGAGCACGTGCACGTAGTGACTGCATGCACTGATGGCGTGTGCCTGTTGAGTCCATAAACCACTGTTATGAGCAGATTAATGGGATCAATAGCTGTCATAGCTCATAAGTGATCCTCTCTGGGCTCATGCTATAACATTACTGTGGTGATTTAAAGTTGATCAGGTCTGTCACATGATCAATACAAACAAAGTGAATGTTGCTCTCTTACGCCCCCCCCCTGCTGTCATAAAGTAACCCAGTGATGGATATATAAAATTAGACCCAACTAAAAACGGTTGGTTTGTGTGTATGTACAACTATGAGTGGTCACGTTGGAGGATGACACAGTGCAATAGGATTGAAGGTTTTAAGTTGCTGCCATTTTGGTGTGCAGGGTTAGGGACGCTGGCTGGGTAATCAATTAGCAGATCAGCGATTAGAAGAGGCTTTCTCAGTCACCTGCATCACTGCATAATACCTTAATCCACTGGACCATATGCTGCTACTGTAAGGGACTTTCCAGTATGATTCACCGTCACACACGCACAGGTAGAGACCACCTGGATGGTCTCCCACATCGGATGTCACATGTATGTAAAATCATGCATGTTGTTCACACACATCAAACACCCACACACAGACCTGAAAGCCTGTTACCATAACTGCAGCTGCTTATAAGGCATGAGGTTTGGCAGGTTCGATTTAGCTAAACTGCCAGGTACTCTGAGCTTTAAATAAATAATAAGCCAATTTTTATGTGGCAGCAACAGAGGCAAGGAAAGCTATTAAAAGCCATCAGTTTGAATACCCAAATGAATTAGTGTCAATTAGTGTTTTCTATATAATCATCATCCTCAACAATCATTCTGTGTGCATCCACATATATATGTCTTCATATATACAATCTTTGACACAAAAAATAAAACTATAAAGTATTAGTAAAGTTGAGTTTTAAATCTTAATTTAACATTTCTCATTATGCTAATCATAATAGCTTTGGGCAAGAACTTGTTTAAGTTTTACAAATAATTTACCCACAGTCACATTTTGTGATGTTTCTCTTTACCCTGTATGTTGTACAGGCACTCTAATGATTATTAATAGACAAATATTTTACTGTCTTTTCTTGCTATAAGATAACAGCACTGTTTGATTTTCAAACTACAGTATAAAAGTGGTTGTTATGTAGTAACTCCTGGATATGACTAGGTTAGTATAGCGTAATGAAAATTGATTATTAATACCATTTAATTGTTTCATTTAAATCAGTTCTTTATTAAGATGTAGCCCAAGCATAGGCATACTTTGTGTATGAGTTATGGACAGTAGTAATGTCTTGGATTCGGTTTCCCATAATTTTGTTGATCTATTTGCAGTTTGATGGCTCTTTAACCACCAAAGGAAACAGCTTTTGGATATATTGTAGATATGAGAACTGACAGAGGGAAAGTAACTACACTGGTCTCAGACTTTTGGATCCCGCTGTACATATAGCACTACACAATTCTGCACTCATTTAGCCTGAAATTAAAGTTAGAGAAGTACTTAATGCTTGTATTAAGTTTATAACATGTGGTCAGGTTGCTACACTAAAACTTATAATAGTTTTATAACATTTGTTTCATTTCTTGAAATATGTAGACTGATTATTTCTATCATACAAGTTTCTGTATCACTATTAAAAATTTACCTGTGTGCTTATGAATTTTTTTTCTCTTGTAAAGTGTG